CAAGAGCCTTTTCGGAGCCGCTCTCTCCCAGCTGTCAGGATGGCCGAGTGGTCTAAGGCGCCAGACTCAAGGTTTCGATGCCTTCCGTGAGCGATGGGTGTTCTGGTCTCCGAATGGAGGCGTGGGTTCGAATCCCACTTCTGACAACTGTTTTACTTTTTTCCCCTCCCCAGCCATTCACATTTTTGTTCTCCCTCAATCCTGTACTCACAAAATGCAAAACCCTGAGATTTTACCAAATAAATCGACGTCGCGTGTAAAAGGCGCGGGACTGAATACATTTTATACCATACGATTTTGCCAGGTATTCAAAGGGTTTAATCTAGATGGGTAATTTTGAATTTGTTGGAAAAAAAACAACCCGATTGCGTTACGTGTGTTGTAATAACGAATAGAATGTGATATGATAATTTAAATATATATATATTCGGTATTCCTCTTTAGATCGAAGATCGTTATTCCGTGTTTGCAGCAGTGAGTCCAACAGGAGGCGCCAGAACAAGGATTTCAGGTTGAAAAAACATTAATGAAATTCGTGTAGGCTAGTGAACTGCAGTGATAGTAACAGTCGTTGACCTTTAGCGCAGAGCAGTGAACAGCGCTGAATGATTGTCCTAAACGTAGCTGTCCCACTTCTCCAAGCGTGACTCAATTTAAATGCAACGCACTACCTCAAGGAAAGCAAGTTTTTTCATTACTCTAAATCTGAAGAGGCAGAAGAGATATGATGTAGGACGAAAAGCAGAAGTTATCGGGAATTGTTTAAAAAAATCGGTATCTGTCAATCTATGTTAGTAAAGTTTTTTTTATATAAGACAAAGTTGGTCTGCGTCCTTCTTCAGAAAAATAAACCGTATTCCTGACTTGGTTTTCTCCCCAACAAATTATCCGAAGAGACAGATTCAGCTTATTCATCAATGTTCACCTAAAACATTGTCAACTTGCGTTCTGGCCTACTTCACTCGCAACCTCGACTTCTGAATTCAACACTTTCAAAACCAATCAAAGATCTTTTTGGTAGATGCAGGCAGCGCCTTCTCGCTTTACCATTGCGTGTAAATGTGAAGTCGAAAAACGTGTAAAAAAACGTAAAAATGCTCGTCAAGAGCACCGCATCCGCAACACTTAAGTCAGTGTAGGACAGTGTCATAAAATGACATGCTCTAACCGAAGAAAAAAAAGTGCTGCTTTCGCACTGATGAGTTGTATCATATCGTATGTAAAATACATGCCCCGGTGTTTCTGTCGACATTGTCTCCCATCGCAGATTACAATAGGAATGTTGAAAATCACAGTTGGCACATGACACAGCTACACCCAGGTTTTATCATGCAAACTGCAGAATACTGCAAAAATATTTTCTTCGTATAATAGTTCTCCAATGAGTACTTCGCTATAGCCAAAAATATATCCACCACATTGTAAAATGCTGGTATTTCCATCCTTTTGCGTACTGTCAAAACATATGTGAAAACAAGACAAATTGTGCCCAAAAGGATAGCGTTTTGCATGAAGCAAAAACAATAACAACAGTTTTATTTCTGCACTCAAATAAGTGCAGAATAAAGTGTTATATATTTGTGTAAACAACTTTTTGTCAACATTTAAGTTAATAAACCCTGATGCTCGCTTCCTCTACCACGATAATTATTCACAGCACACAGCCTCTGTCTTCGGAATCAATTTTCCAGAACACAATTCTCTGCTTAAAAGTGAAATGTCACGGGAAATAACATTAAAGTGTCTCATTTTATACAAACAGAACAAAGAAACAAAACACTGTATTGGTAGCTATATTTTTCATTCCACATCGAGGTATTATTGATTAAATCTGTCAAAGATCTCTGCATCTCCGGAAAATGCTTTCCTTACGGAAAAAAAAAAACTAATTGTGTTCATCATGTAGGGCTAATGTAGTGTGCTGCCTCTAATTAGTAGCAAAACGTAATCCTGCTGTAAATGACATCTTTATGAAGCGCATTTCCAAAACACGATGGAGTGCATGCATTTGAGTAGGCCTATAGCGTTTTCCAAATAACACATGAAATATTTTCAAACATATTTTCCTTTTGGTCGAAATGTTTATTCAGAGACCGTCATGCAGTTTAATTACAAGTTCATTTTGCCTGTCACACACATAAACCACCCAGGCATCTAAATCTCTCTACTAATATAGTTAAAAGAGCTTACCATGTATATTTGGTGTTTGACCCGCAATGTTCTTTCGAAGGCGCCGTACATGGTGACTGGAAGGGATTTTAATTTGAAAAATCAGCGAAAGCCGATCGTGACTTGCCTCGCTGCATTCCGTCTGCATTCCGTCTGAAAGTAGCTCATAGGGCCTCGAAAAGTAACTCTAGCGCTGGCCACATGACTGTCACAGACATCTCATTGCTTTCCAAATACATTATCTACTTAAATTACAAAGAATGAAAGTAACTGCAGGAATGCTGTTACATGAATCGGGACAATGATTTGTCCGTTCAACAATTCACGAAAAGTTCAACAACAACAACAACAACAACAACAACAACAAAAAACCCACTGTGAGACCTCTTGTTACAGCAGACGGGCCATTAGCTGGTGACTCGTCAGGGCGCGATTTTTATCCAAGAATTGTGGAAAACCATGCACGAGTGTGGCAATGGAAAACGAGGCACATCTTTGTCACATTAGAGGGACTTTCTGCCGGTACAACCGCAGAACAATACATCTCATCGCACTTAAGTGGGCTATTTAATGTCGATAAAGCGTTATAAACAGTTGTTAAAATGATAGTGGTGAATAACGAAAATAAAAACTGCTATTTATAACATATCCTTCCACACTCGAGGACGAGGAGATTATGTCAAAATGTAACCTGATGAAAAAACGAAGCAACGCTCAATCAAAGCCACTTGTGTTTCCTTGGCTGTGTCGCTTTTCTTCCAAGAATCGCAATCAAGAAAACAATGCACCATATTATAGAAGCTGCCTTTGGCGTTAACATGACACCTTTTGTGTGTTAAGATGTTTTCTTTTTGCGAAATATAAGACCCATTGCGGGCCGTTCCGTCATTCGGGGTGCTGGAGCTTTGTCCGAGTTCAGCTGTATGAATGCGCAGGCTTTCAGAAGCGGAGAAAACTCGCTCCTCCACTCTTTATTGTTACGGGCACTAACCGAAGTGTGTGGAAGAGGCTCCTTGCTAAAATAATTTAAAAAATAAAATAAAATGAGCCAGAATCAAATCAAATCAAATCAAAGTTTATTTATCCAATGCACAACATTACAGCGTGCAGCAGTAGTTGCTGGCAATGACGTCTTTTCTGCGAGCTCACAAAAATCACAAGAATCACAAAAATCACAAAAACAAAATTAAGATTACAAAAATTAAGGTTTTATTAGATGTAATAGAAATGGAATAAAACTCAATATAAATAGAGCTGTTATGTGGCCATGGTGTATGCAATATATAGTAGTGCAGGTATTCTGAATACAGTGAAAACTGCGTGTCCATGTAGCTATTACAGGTGATTTGCTACTGAGAAAAAGTTATTTGTTTCTGTCATGAAATATACTCCTAGACACAGCTCCCTACTTCAAAACTCTCAGCTGTAAACAATTCGCCCGCTCCACTCCATACTGCAATGTAAACAACAGTAAACAATAATGATAGCATCCTTTTGCTTTTCAATCCCTTTTCGGTATTTAGTAAAAATGGCCGAAGCAAATAGAACATATGGATGGTTGTGAGGTATTTGTGCGCTCGACCATCTGTAATTGTCAGGATGGCCGAGTGGTCTAAGGCGCCAGACTCAAGGTTTCGATGCCTTCCGTGAGCGATGGGTGTTCTGGTCTCCGAATGGAGGCGTGGGTTCGAATCCCACTTCTGACAAGCGTTTTGTTAGGTCATGCTTTTCAAAACTGCTGTTTTATTGTAAGACTTCAAGTTCAGTTTAACATATTACGACCACGGTTACAGTGGTATGCACAATTTTAATCGCCAGAATAAAAACTTACCTAAACACAATTGGTATTTCTAAGGAAAGCATGCATGTAATTCTCCTGTCTTGCTGGAATGCCCGGGCCTGACAGTTCCTGATATGACTCGCGGTGAATGTTGTGTTTCGGAATCCCCAAAAGTATTAAGAAATTAAACTCAATGGATTTCATGGGATCAACAGTGAAAGTTTGAAACATTGAAACCGTACAGAAAACAAATGCAAATAAACCTAAGTGCAGTACATTTGAAGACCTACAGATGGCAGAATGAGATTCCCGGACCAGGTAGCTACTAGCAAAAAGAAAACCAAATCAAGTTCAGTGGTCTCATTTCTAAACCTTTAAAACGTTTATTATCACAATTTCTATGGTTTTCAAAGAGGAAATATAAGCAATACCTTTACCTACAACGTGTGTTACAAAAGAGGAGGCCCTTCGCCCCATCACGGTCTTTGCTTCCTAAGAATTCACTGACTCGAGGTTTTCCAAGAGAACCGGCTTCCGACACCTAGCAATCTTTGTGCAAAAAAAAAAAAGATTATCAATGTAACCAATATTTTTAAAGACCAAACAAGAAGTACCGATACATTCACGCTGCGGTACACCGAAGGATAAAATCCAGGTACCTTAGAAGAACTTCAAAGTGTGTGCACTGGAGCCCTCGATAGCGACACTGGCTGGTCGTAATCAATAATTCACCGTATATTTAAAAAGTCAGTAGACGGAAGGTGTGGGGGCGGTACGTACAGTGGTGCGGTCGTTGGGAGCGCTGCATCGCAGCGCTTGGCCCCGGGTTCAATTCTTGAACCAGAGCTATGCTCTCCCTGCATTATTGGGGGTTTCCACCCATGGTCAAAAGACCTACAGATGGGTTAATTAGCTTCTGTAAAATCTGGCCCTGGGGAAAGTGTGTGTGTGTCCTGTGATAGACTGGTTTCCTGTCTGGGGTGTACACTGCTTTGTGTCCCTTTGTTGCTGTGAAAGGCTCTGGCTCTTCCTGTGACCCTGAATTGGGTGGGTAAAGTGCCTAGAGAATGGACAGTATTTAACAAGTATTGTTCCCAGTTCAATACTGGTATTATTCTCATCACCCAAAGGCAGAGTTATAATAATAATAATAAACTTTATTTTATAAAGCACCTTTAAAGGTAGCTTCTCAAAGTGCTTTACAGAATGACAACAACAATAAATAAAAAGAATACACAAGATAAAACACAATTACAATATATAGAGGAGACTAGGGGTGTTAAGTAAGTAAAGGCTTTTCTAAAGAAGAAGGTTTTGAGTCTGGATTTGAAGGAGTTTAGAGAAGGTGACTCTCTGATATCCTTGGGGAGAGAGTTCCAGAGCTTGGGGGCGCAGCAGGAGAAGGCCCTCTCACCCATACAATGTAGATGGGCTTGGGGGACAGTAAGGAGAGCAGAATTGGAAGAGAGAAGGCTGTGAGGTGGGGAGTAGGGTGATAATAGTTCAGACAGGTACTGAGGTGCCAAGCCATGTAGAGCCTTATAGGTGAGCATGAGGATTTTAAAGTCTACACGGACTTTGACCGGAAGCCAGTTACTTGTTAACGACACTGCTGCGGAACGTCTCACCCTATCTACAATAATTCGGGTCTACATGAAACAATCTTCAGCAGGCGATACCTTTACCCAAACGTGACACATTCAAACTTATTCATCCTCTCTGAGACTGTACTGGACTAACGTTAACCAGGGTTACCCTCTAAAACAACCAAGTTGTCGAGGTAAATATTAACTACATGCTCAGCACCCAACTTGACCCACTCAGGATGTCATTTCGACAACGAAGTAAAGCGTCATTTCCTTAGCAACTACGAATACACGTCAGCAACCCGGTTCTAACCAATCAGAGAAGCGGAAGAACGGAAACGTGGGGGATTTAGTTTCCGGGGTCGTAGGTAAAACACGTAAAAAAATGGCTGAACATGGGTTTCTGTGCTTATGCGAATTAGTCCGGTAAAGTTGATTTCTAATCTGTTTCGTATTTAATGTTTTTAATGACATTAATAAAAGGCAATCAACCACTGCTTTTCAGTGCTGACAAAAACAAGATAAACGCTCAGCTAGGTAGTTATACTACATTAGTGATACTCTCATCGTCGGTAAGATGTTAGGTGTGTAGGCTGTTTTTTTATCAATGAATGTACTGCAACACGGTTTATTAGCACGTTCCGAGTGCTGTGTCTATACAGTATTGAGGTTAACTGACTGGCTTGTTTAGTTATATGTCGTTCGAAGGCATCTGCAAAAATGGCCTTGTCTTCAAAAACGTCGGTGTCTGTTCATATTTCGGTTGATGAAAGCGTGCAGACACAGGCTCCCACAGGCTTGTGTCCACTGAGTCCGCTTATGACAATAGACGGCTGATGTTTTCTGCTCCAGGTTGCTGTGGTCGCTCGTCGTGCCTTGCGTGTTCCTCAGCTTGGCGCTTACCGCCCTGCTCCTCTTCCTGATCCTGGGGACACGGCTGTGGCTTCGGCGGAGGAGGACCGACCGGCAGCAGGGACTCAATTCCCCCGTTGTCGCTTTCTTTCACCCCTACTGCAACGCGGGCGGCGGCGGGGAGAGGGTGCTGTGGTGCGCCCTGAGAGCGCTGCAGAGCAGGTGAGCACCGGGAGAGCGGGAGCTCGGCGTTTGTCGCCCGTTTTCCCAAATCCGGAAAGTTCAGGTTTAACACCCGGTTTAAATTCTTTTTTTTTTAAACTTGCCTTCAAGTTCTGACTGAGACATGTTTATTTGATCACACCTGTAAAAACAAATGACCCTAAGGTTAAATTTGCCAAAATCAGGAACTCGGCTGAGGATGGCACAGTAGAGAGATTTGCTGCCATGCAGCTCTGTCCTGGGTTCAACTCCTGGGGTTCGGTTCTGTGTGGGTTCTGTATATTCTCTCTGTGTTTGCATGGGTTTTCTCCAGTTATCCAGTTTCATCCCACAGAGCTACAACATTCTGGGAAAACTGGCCCTGGTGTGTCTGTTTGTGTGTCTGTGTCTGCGCTGCGCTGGACTGTCTGCCTGACCAGGGTGTACCCTGCCTTGCGCCCGTTGCTTGCTGATGTTTGAAATAAATGCACCGGAGATCAGGTTTCGAGTGAGAAGATGATCAATCTTTTTATTGATGCGCATAAAGATCAGAGTCCAGAGCTGTTCTGTTCTCTTCTAAAGAGTAGTTCTGGAAGGGCCAATCTTTATACTCTGTTGTTACTAAGTGGAAGTACAGGTAAGCTACAGAAGCAGAGAGAGCAAGTCAGTCAAGCTGCCACTTAAATTTCACTGAAGCTGCGTCTAGCAAGTGTCTCCGACGGTTTCCTGTGACACACTTACAGTCTGTTCTTGAATCGGTCTTGCTTTTTTAAAAATAAAGTATTAGACCGGCAACAGACTATTAAATCTCGTATACGAAAGATCACTATAAAATGAATAAATTCTGAAGCAATATAAAATTGACCTTCCCCCAGACAGACTCCAGCTTCCCCGTGACCCTGAATTAGATGACGTGGTTAGAGAATGGATGGCAGAGCTTGGTTAAACTTGAAGATGTTTTTTTTTATTTCCTTATCTACTCAGTGCAATAGTAATACTTTTCATACATTGTTTTAAAAAGTCACAGAAAGGAAACAATACATGTATTTACAAAAAACAAAAATATTATATATGAAATATTATAGTGGTTAACCTTGTATTTCTGCCAACATGAAGATGATTATACACGTGATCTGCTTCGCCCATTACCGTTTATGGTGCTTTTCTAGGTACAAAGATGCTTCCTATGTGGTGTATACTGGGGACCAGGGCGTCACGGGCGAGCAGATTCTTGAAGGAGCACGAAGAAGATTCAACATCAGACTTCCTGGGCCAGTGAAGTTTGTTTTCCTCAAACATCGTTTTCTTGTGGAAGCCAGCCTCTATCCTCATTTCACCTTGCTGGGTCAAAGCCTCGGCTCGATTTTCCTGGGATGGGAAGCGCTCACAGAGCTTGTCCCTGACATCTATATAGACTCTATGGGATACGCCTTCACATTGCCACTGTTTAAGTATTTGGCAGCGTGTCGCACTGCGAGCTATGTGCACTACCCCACCATCAGCACAGACATGCTGTCAGTGGTTCACAGTAGAAACCCGAGGTTCAACAACGCCGAGTATATTTCAAGAAACCCTATTTTAAGTGCCATCAAACTAATCTATTACTGCATGTTTGCCTTTCTGTATGGGTTGGTTGGCTCCTGCAGTGATGTGATAATGGTGAACTCCACCTGGACGCAGAACCACATTCTGACGCTCTGGAGGTGCCGTGACCGCACCAGTGTGGTGTACCCTCCGTGCGACGTGCAGGCCTTCCTTGACATCCCCCTCGAGAGTGGCCAGGCAAAAAAGCGCCACTCGGTCGTTTCAATTGGCCAGTTCAGGCCGGAGAAGGACCACCGGCTGCAGATCCATGCGTTTCAGAAGCTCCTGGGAAAGACGGCGGCCGGGGAGGTGGAAGCCCCCCGGCTGGTTCTGATTGGCGGCTGTCGGAACCAGGAGGACGAGGACAGAGTGCGGCTGCTCAGGGGGTTGTGCCAGGAGCTGGGCGTTGAGGACAAGGTGGAGTTTAAATTAAACATTCCTTTTGAAGAACTGAAGAAAGAGCTGGCTTCCGCCACTGTGGGCCTGCACACCATGTGGAACGAGCATTTCGGGATAGGTAATGAGATCGATTTTTGTATTGATTTACTGTTAATATCCAGAGCAGTAGGGGAATAGATGTCAGGATGCCTTTGCATGTGCTTTATGCTCTTTTGTGATGGGCAACTTTGATTTCTAGCGCAGGCTGCTTGGAATCCTTTGTCAGAGCTAGTTATGCATGTGCGCAGCAGGAAAAGAATAGAAGATGCACCCCGACAGATGCAGGTTGCTCTTGAATGCGGGGCTCTCAAGATGTGCCTCTCTCGTTCGCCTGTGTGCAGGGATCGTGGAGTGCATGGCCGCGGGGATGGTCGTTCTGGCCCACCGATCCGGGGGGCCGCTGTTAGACATTGTGGTCCCCCACGAGGGAGGGGCGACCGGGTTCCTGGCAGATGATGAGGACGGCTACGCAGAAGCCCTGGAGAGGATCCTCGCGCTGTCGCCAGAGGCCAGGCTGGAGATCAGACGGAACGCACGCCAGTCTGTATCCCGTTTCTCCGACCGGGAGTTTGAAGCCTCCTTCCTGTCCGCTGTGGAGCCTGTTATGGGCGCAGCACAAAGATAGGAGGCGCTAGGGGAAGGGAGACGGCTTGCAGTTGCCTCTGCGCTGTGTCTTTAGGCCAAAGGGGAACAAGCCGAGACGAAGCATGTTTGTGTTGGCACTTTGTAGTGCAATCAGAAAATAGGCCCAAAAGCACTGCATGCTCTGATGGCTAATCACACTAACAGCCTTGATTAGTATTGTTCATAAACCTTCTGCTTTACTGAAGAAATCGCCTGTCCTTGAAGCTCTACTTAACAGTTCACCCCCCTGACATGATTTAACACCACTGGAAGGAGCTGTGTCTGAACTGAGAAGTGCTGTAGCAGCAGACAGTAGAAGTCAGGACAGAGAGAAATCTGTTGAGCAGTTTTCCTTCTCTTGCTACCCCTCTCTTCACAAGGACAGGCATTCACATATACAGTGTATAGATATACGGGCATATAAATGCACTGGAAAGATTGCACAGATAATGGGAAACTGTCAGACATCCATTAATTTATTTAAAAAAAAACAAGTAGCCAAACATCACATCATTAATGTCTGCTGCCCTTTTTTGTATCCACATTTGGTATGTGTGCCAGGCACAGTGCGATAATGAGAATTGTACTACGCAAGGGTGCATGAGTTTCACTTAAGAAAAAAGACCAAAATCTTTTTTTTCCGAAGCTTAGCCCTTTGAATGATAGCCCTGTGTATAGTGTGTACATTGCAGTGGGTTAATTGAAGGGTTAGATGGGTTGCATAATTCTAAATTCATTTTTTGCAGATGATATAATGATTTGTTTTTAATCTGTCAGTTTGATGTTGCATATGTGTGATGTACTGCATTAAATTATTTAAAAGTTTATTTTTTAAATTATGTTTAAAATCGCTGAATACTTTAAAGAGACACAAGCAGCTGGCATCGATCACAAAACCATCGTGTAAACATTTAATGACCTAAAGAAAAGCAAGCTTTTGTGTTAATCTGGATTTACATTTCAACCTCGAGGACAGCAAGGAAAAAGCCAGTGTTTCTGAACACTGAAAGATGCTACAGTGTAAAAGTATGGTGAGTTTCCTGCTGGAATTGCAGAGAAACAAGAAGAGCTTCAATGCAATATACAATATTTACAACAGTTCTGCAGTAATCGAGTGGGATATGGAATCCTTCAGTGCAGCATTGGTCCAAGTGACTTTAGTTTCGAAGCTCTGCAAAACTGTCCCCCCCGATTTCTGTTTGCAGCTTCATTATAATTTATAATGCTAGACAGAGACTAAACCTGGTCCTGTGTCCCATTGCGATTGTTCTGCATGGGGTCAGGCGTATTGTTCTCTAGAGCCTGCGTTTCCCGAGCCTCTGTCTCCTCGTTGTGTGACTGCGCAGTCTGAGCTGGTGTATCTCCACTTTGCGGCTCAGCCAGCTTCACACCCTGCTGTGTTTGTGCAGCCTGCCCCTCCTCTTCCTCATCTTCCTTCATTAAGAAGAAGTTCTTCATGGAATCAGCCACCTCTCCTCTCAGCTCGTCTTCAGATTCTTCGAAGTTTCTACCAAAAAGAAATTTCGTTCTGAGCACCTGTTCCCTAAAGTAAAAAAATGCCGACTGTGAGGTTCTGGAGCTACTTACGTGTCGTCGTCATCTGATCTGGGCTCCAGCCGTTCTTCATCCATATCGATGTCAGAGCTCACCTCCTCATCTTCACCCTCCTCCACGGGTGTCCAAGGTTTGAGGGTCTCTGAGTGTTGAGAGAAGAGCCCAAACCATCACACAACGCTGGGTAAACTAATCGTGTTGTTTTAACAGACACTTTGAGCATGTATGTTTCTAAGGAGTCAGTAATAGGTTTATTCCCTGCTGAAAAGAGAAGAAAGAAAACACAACGTTTTTCACAACGTGGAGCCTTCTTCGGGTGTGACACCCCTTTCAGCAGGGAATAAACCTATTACTTGTTCCTTTGCAGCCTACTCATGCTGACGCAGCTCCCCACCTGTATGTTTCTAATGCACACATATGAAATACAACAAATCGTGGTAGGAAATCTAGTTTACCTGAAGGTCTAGTTTTGAAACGCGCTATAATCAAAGTTTTTTTTCATGAAAACATTTGACTAAAAATGCGCTGATTACATTTTAACTAAAAATGACCTTCTGACCATTCCCCAGCGAGAGCAGGACTGAGCTTGTAGAATAGTAAAAACGATTCAGTCTCGCGAACATTTTAACATCGATCTTGTGTGACGGCTGATGGGCCAGGCGGCCAACCATGTGCTTCATCACAGTGGCGTCACATTGTGTTGAGCTCTTTATTTGAAGGGAGGGAGGGAGGGTGGCGGTCAGCACCAGGCCAGCGGTGTCTTACCCAGGGGACCTGTGTCCAGGATGGTGCTGGCAGAGGTGAGCTCGGCCTCTGCCAGCGCCCTCAGCAGTGTTTCTGGGGGTCTGTCCTGCCACTGACCCCTCGGTCCTGCAGGCTCCTGATCGTGTCCATCTTCCCCTGCTGGCAGAGGGCAGATTTCATTTCCAGGGCACAAACAGAAGCGGTATCATCATTAACTATCATGATGGACCCCTGTATAGCTAAACACTTTTTTTCACAGGTTTGTGTCTTTAATGTCCCCAAAATGCAGGCCTGTCATTTCTTCCTTGTACTTTCTACCAATAGACTTGGTATCATTCGTCTCAATAACCTAAAGGGAGATTTTCTTTACCACATTTTGCAGTTACAAGCTATGTCAGTGAAGGTGTTCTTATCAAGTATTATCAGTTTGAGCCCCAGTTTAGCTTTAAACACCTGTCAGCTGCAGAAAACAGAGCTGAGCATTCTGGCATCAACAAAATGGTCTTGTACCTCCTGATCCAATATTTTGCTTTAAAGTACCCTTTTAAAAGCAAGGTTTTGTAAAAACCAAATTGCTGGTGGTATCATGGAAAACGGGGGGTGTGCACAGCTTTGGCGTGGTACAGTGGCACAAGGCAAGAGAGTGAAAGACAGGCCCTTACGGAGGCTGTGCTCAGACATGGTGGGCAGAGCGGAGGACACCTCCAGGTTGGCCATGGCATTCAGGAGGGTGTGCGGCACTTCCTGACCCCACAGCCTCCTCCCTCGTGCGCCGTCTGCTGGTCGCTCCTGTGGGCCACCCTCCAGCCCCACGGGCTTCCAGTCCACCTGTCTCAGGTCTTCTCCATCTTGGAAGGTCAGGGTCTGGTTCAACATATCCACTTCCTGAAAAGATGCCACATGCAGTAGTTCTACTGAGGAGAAGGCATTTAGAAGACATCAGTATGAGAATGGATCTGCTGCAGGAGGGCTGACTGGCTCTGAGGTTTCAACTAATTTACCTCTGTCACGCAGATCTGCTTCAATCGAGATTTACAAGTTCTGTATCCCATTTACAAGTATAAATCTGGTGTCTCCTACATATGTGCAAACATACCTCTTCTGTGTTGTCATCTTCTTGTAAGTCTTCTTCATCTAAACGAACTTCAAACATGACCCCTTTCTGGCACAAATAAAAAAAGTATACAGTTTGTTGTTGTTTTTTGTTTCTTCTGTATATAACAGTTACATTCCAATGCACCTTATTCATTACACTTCCAAACAATGCCTAGGACCCAGGGGATGTTAAATGACCAAGCAGTCAGCACCTCAGTTTAACGTCTCATTGCAAGGACGAGATGTCAGTCATACAACTCAAGGCCCCAGGTTACTTCACTAGCTCATTTGGAAATTGTGTTTTGGAGAGATGTCCACTGGTACAGTAATACAGCTTACAGCAGTTAACATGTTTGTTACTGACAGGATCCAGTGTTAGTCTTACTTTGTTCCTCAGATGAGGTTTAGTGCATGTAGTGTTTGCGTTTTACCTTTGCTTTGTGTTTTATCTCCAATGCTTTCCTTGCATGTCTGTCTTCATCACACGTGATGTGTCTCAGGCGCTCTTCAACATTCTGTTTGCATGTACAAAAAAAAAGAGCATGTGATGTCTGAAAGCTATTTGGTGTGTAAAATGTCCACACTGCTGGAAGAAAAGACACACTACCTGAACATGTTCTGCTCCATGGTCTTGTTCTTTTGCCTGGGAGGGAGATTCAGTTGGCTCGGACCGTTCAACCAAATATGTCTCTGCTTTGACCTCGGGCTGAGGCATTTTCAGAATTGCAAAAAAGAACAAAGTGATATGAAGAGACAGCGAGTTGTTCTTGAACAACTCTCTTGGGGTTGAGAATGGGGAGTACAATAGGAAACTGTTTAAAATGAAAGGCTGCATGCCAGTGAGGAAGTCCCATTGGGCAGTGTGGTGGCTCTGTGGCTCAGGATCTGCGCCTGTGACTGGAAGGTTGCCGGTTCGTATCCCACGGCCGGCAGAGGAATCCTACTCCGTTGGGCCCCTGAGCAAGGCCCTTCACCCCAGCTGCTCCAGGGGCGCTGTATAAATGGCTGACCCTGCGCTCTGACCCCCAGCTTCTCCCCCTGTCTGTGTGTCTCATGGAGAGCTAATCTGAAGTTGCTAATCTTGTATTAATTCCTAATACAAGAAATTGTAGATGGCCAATAAAGTGATCTTATATCATGACAATAACAACTTTCCAAATCCCCTTGGAAACATGCTTCTTATAAACTACTGTGTCAGACCCAGCTGCATACAGCATTTTAAAAAAATTGAAAAAATAGATAAAATGTAAAAATGTCTGTGTTTCTCATTAATTTTCAATCAGACATTTAGAAGAGATAGAACTGGAGTTACTACTCAAGTTTGAATAATTTACAATTCACTCATGTTTAGTTTCTTTGGCTAAAGACATCAATCAAAATAATAACTACACTCAAGGCCCCTGTTTAAATATTTTAAATTCTTCATTCTACGTGCCAGTGAACAGTGTGATTTATGTAGGATTAACAACTGTGGTCTACAGCTCTGAAACTCTGAGGTCAGAGTGGTGAAAATTAAGGTGTCAATACCAGAGTCTACACCATAATATAAAATATGTAATTTAAAGACTGCATTCTGTATTTGCCAGGTGTATATTCAACCAAATACAATTGTGTTTGTATAATTGAGAGCCGTTTTGTTTATATAGTCCAGGCAAACAAAAAAACATCTTTCAGATCTGCTGCTGACACTTGTTGTATTTTACAGTGTTTGTCTTATAATATGACTACATAATAAGACAGGAATTGTGCATAACCTCATGATAAGAAACACATGCAAGAAAAAAAGCGTGACTGATCTTTAACATTTGAACAAACAGTAAAAATTCAGTTTTGTTAACTATTAATTTTTCACTTCTTACACTGAGGTCTTGCCTGTACAGTGTGTTTCCTGATGAAGAAATCTTCGCGGGAACTCCTCTGATCTTTACCTGTACTGCTGCTTTCTTCCTGAACCCCTTGACCTCATTGTGATACTGCTGCCTGATTTCCTCAAGCTGTTTCAGGTACTCCTTGAGGAAAGACAAAATCACAGTGGAGTCTGAACGGCCCTTACGAGCTCGTTTTATTACTTATAACGGAAAGAGATTTTGTTGGTTTTAAAAAGAGCATTGGCTCTAGGAAAATGTTTGCTGAGCACTGCAGTAAAGTTAAAGCTGTTTTTTCAAAAAGGGTACTCTCAGAATATACCTCTCTGTTGATCAAGTGAGCATCTGTTATATACATGATAGTTTAAAGAAAGAACATGATTTGTTTATAAATCTCCAAACCGGTTTTCAATGGAGTTTCCATTACAGTTTTTGTTTCTTTTCAATTACATAAAGTAATGTTTATATAACATCCTCATAACTGCGTGTTATCCCCTGAAATACAAAGCCAATTAGTGGTCAGCGTTTTTTGAGAGAAACACTACGGATCCCTTTGTGTCAGTCAACAACAAACAAGTATATCACATAATCAGTGCTCACAGAGTTCATCTCCTCATTTCGCAAGAGGTACACATGCACAGCTGGCTCAGCTGCTGGGAAGCAGTGTTGATGTCATTCCTGTTTAATTTATGGGAATCCAGAACAAACTACCTAGCCACACTGTCAAAACTTATAGCTGCTTTTAAGAAGCACCTGGCAGTTAGCAACCAGATAAGCTAGAGGCAGAGAAATTCAAAAACACTTAAACTAGAATGGAGATGGAAGAACACAGAATCTGTATGGGGATGTACAGAACTCAGACAGAACTCAGAAAGCCCCCAACGAACGTCATACAGTGATCATATTACAGTATGCTTTTGAGTAGTATATTCTACCTGAAACCTGGGACAGATTAATCCCAAGAATAAGTGGATGAAAATCTTAAAAAGTGTTGACCCAAATGGTGTGATAAATCTTGGCATAAGGTCAAGAAAAAACTAAGTTCTATACAAAATAATAATAGAAAAGATAGACAGGCAGAATGGTTACCGGCTCTAGAAATACAAATGATAAACAGATCTTCAGGTGGTATGCTGTTATAAATAGACCATTAGCTAAACTAATAAACCAGTAGTCGCTCAAGCTGGGACTGATGCTTGTTAACTGGAAAATGAATAAGATACTGGCTATGCAGAAGGATTGAGTTGGTTTCTCTCCAGGGTCTCCGGCAGTAAAATGGTTTCTTAGAAGCAGTCTGCAGCTCTCTTACCTCGTGATCGCTCTGTTTCCTGGAGGATGGAGGGTGGTTGCCTCTCTGGGGAGGCACAGGCCGCTCTAGTGCTTGTGCTCTGTGGCAAACAGCGTCCCCTGTGGAGGGACGCAGACCCTGCAAGTCGAAGGTCAGGCTTGTCAGTGATTCTGCTCTACAGCAGTAATGTAGGACGTGGGTTTCGAATGCTCTGTTCTGTGCTTGAAGATATTTTAATACCACAGAACAAAAAATCACCACTTCCTGGGATACATTTATGGAACTGAGACACTGGTTTCTGAATTTGTCTGTTTTTATTATCGTGTTGGGTGTAGTGGGGAAATCAGACTATCATTAATTTACAGGCTTTGACATTTCTCATTGGTTAATGCAACACACTCACCTATTAAAATCTGTTAAGTGCCAGATTATTTTTGGAACCATAACTGCTATTTTACCTCTGTTATAACCCCCTACACCTAACAAATATTCTACATTAAAAGAAACGCTACAGGTAATAAATAATCCACACGTATAGAGATAAAAGGGAGAGAAAGCTCAAGAATAATCGGGATTGAACATTTCCAGAGATCGTGAGCCAATCAGTCTCATACAACATACAACTTGTCTATCAACTTGGGCTGCTTAAACCTTGAGGTGAACTTCTGCCCTTTAATTAAAGCTCTTCTCCTTAACACAGACTTACAACACCTGCCCTGGGTTGTTCCATCTACAACGAGAGAGAAAACAGAACCCTTTGGTAATATCCAATTGACTGTCTGTTGAGGTACAGACTGCAGCTGAGTACTTTCTGCCAGTTAAACTGGTGCAATACTAGAGTCTAATAATGTTAAACAAATGGACCTCTGGAAGCCCCAGTGATGACATTTCAACATTGTTTTCAGCACCAACTGCAGTCCTTCTCTCTTTCACTGAGCCCTGTGACTGCTGCAGTGTGATCAAGCCACCGAAGCTTTGAGCCTTATATAAAAACCCATATCGCATCTTCATGCAAAAACTCACACGCGTGCCCACATGGAGACACACCTTTTTGTCATTCCGTAATGACTCTAAGAAGGAGTGCAGAAAGAGTCCACATTCTCATTAACCCCCATGCTATCATACTCAGACCAGCATTGAATATGAATAATTAGGAATATAACAATTCACACTTTCAAGGTGTTGCAATATAGAGGCAAATGCAATCAGTAGTAATAGGAAAAGTGTCTTACCAGCTGCTTTTCTACTTTGATTTTGTACTGATTGGCCTCTTGTCTTCTTCTTAGGTATTCATCATGTGCCTCATTAACCCTGGAAAGACAGAGGGCACATAGTCAGCTGCAGTTTTCAATGACCAGCTACTGATTTTGATTAAGTGACCATTGTGTTTCTCTGTCCTCCAAAATTTTAAAACAAATACCCACCGTGTTTTTAATACACCACAGTTCTCACAGATGTTACACGCAGGCTAGAGGGTCCGAATGCTTTATGCAAAGGATTGTGGGAGCAAAGGATACATGATAAGCAGGACATCAGTAATATGATGTATTTTGCAATATTAAATGATGACATTTTTGACTTATCAGCTTCATGAATTTGTGAACAAACGTGTTTCAGACACAAGGTGCTCATGACTTACCAAGTCCCTGGGCTTTCCTGAAAAAGTATTCGTGTAAAGTCTATGCTTTCTGTACTTCATACGGATTCTTCGTCGGGTCTGAACACTTGAAGCTTACCGCCGGTACGATGGAGGGACGTGCGCTCTGTCGCGACAGGGATCTTCATCCCTCTCGAGGAGCGGAGCCTGGGGAAGAGCGGCTTGCTCCTGATGCCGGTTTCGGATGAGGTCTAGCTGAGCGTGGTAGTGCTTATACAAGCCATGCTCCCTGTTGTTTCCATTCCTCCCATAATCGTCATACTGCTGAGCTGCCGGCCTGCCTGCTCCCGCTGCTTTAGGGTAAGCGGGCTGTGAAAACGAAATGGACAGTGAAATCCAGAGCATTTGATGTCACCAGAAAAAAAAAAAAAGTTTAAATCTTCATGGAAAGGAAATGAACGTTTCAGGTCTTAAACTTTAAGGAGCTTCTTGTTTATTGTAATGCAACATATCTGTGAATCGTAGGTGTAAATATTCATTGTCTTTCGCAATGCTAGGGAGTGGAACCATCTAAAGAACATTGTTTATTACTCATGAGAATAATTATAGTTCTGAAAGATTTATTACTCTTTATCCACTTCAGTGCTGAAAATTAGCCAGATTATGCTGATGAGCTAAGGGAGGAACAGCTGTCTGTGGCTGCTAAATTGGATTTTACATGTATGCAGTAGAATCAGAAGTGTCTTTAGACTATTGTGCCTACATGCAATAGTCAACACTGTGAAACAACAAGAGCTAGATCATATTCAGACCCATTTTTCAAGCATTTGTAAAAGTGGACTTGAAAGCTGGCCCTGGAGATCCCCTAACAGTTACTCTTGTGGGTCACCTGGTTCTAAACATTGGCAACACCTGTGTGATGCTATTAATATGAATTAAGCAAGTGATCTGTTCAACTGAGAGGACTCTGGGTCCATGGAAACAGAGGTTCTGGTCCCAGATGGTCTCTAAATTACCTAGTGTAACAATACACCTGTTCTCTGTAAGACTTGTCTGTGTCTGCATGTTTTGGTCAGCTGATCGTTACCTTACACTCTGGCGTACAGGCCCTTGCCTGAGGTTTCCACTGAGGCCTTGGAGAGAGCTTCCTAACTGGGTTTCCTGCTTTCATCCGAGGAGCACACTTCTCCTGAGCCCTGGGCTTCACACCCTTTGGTACTGAGAAGAAGAAATACAGCAATTGCTGTCCGTTCTTACAGTCCAGAAGTTATCAATAGTATGTCCAGTAAAGGACACTGTCTCTGCTTTTTATAATAATACAACTACTACTAATTGATTACACTTATATAGCGCTTTTCTGGACACTCCACTCAAAGCGCTTTACAGGTAATGAGGATCCCCTCCACCACCACCAATGTGCAGCTCCACCTGGATTAACTGTTATTTTCTAGTTTGTTCAAGAAGTAGACACTGTAGCTGCTTCATGGAATGTTTTGGGCATTGTTAGTGTCAGTGAAGGGTACTCACTGTCTTTATGCATTCAACTTGGCTCAGCATTAAGGATGAGATGTTGGATTATAGCTTTTAATCCATAATGACCAGCACGTTTTAAAGCCATTTATAACTACATTCCAGACATCCTGAGCATGTGTAATTTAAGATTAAGCACAAACTAGAAAATGAACACATAAATTTATTCCCTGCTGAAGAAAAGAAACACAACGTTTCGGCTCTGGGGCTTTCTCTAGGCGTGGGACACAGCTAACATATCTACTTCTTGAACAAACTAGAAAATAATAGTTAATCGTTATAAAAAGACACTATCAACCACTAGATGGCAGAACTGACTACTTTTATACTCAGACATGAGTTGGGGGTGATGTCATACCACACTAAACTGGTGTGGTTTTACATTACAGTATTAAGGTTCTTCTTCTTTAATTAACGGTGAACAAACAGTTAATGCAAGTAGCCCTATATGTCTTACTTAAATTGTCTTTGTTTTCCAAGAAATGTTTTCACAGTTGAAATATTAAAAAGAAAAGTATGGAAGGAGAGTTGGTTTTAGATAGAGTCAGTACCTTGTGCCTTTGCTGCAGCAGGTCCCTGAAGCTGTGGAACCGAGGGCTTCCCTCTGTGCAGAACAGTGTGACTGAACTCTTCTTTAATCACCTGGCCAATGAAAACACTGTGAACACATGGCGTGGGACAGTGTTTCTAATTTATCTGTTGACCTCCAGAAATCAAGGTTTGCTCTCTTCATTAAAAACAAGTGTGGTAAAATTCAGTGTATGAAAACACAAGTATAATTAAATGAAAAGAGGCATCTAGAGCACAGTCTATCACAGAACCTTAAGACTGAGTTCACTTAATAGTCTATCACAAAACATTAAGACTGAGTTCACTCAATGTTGATTAAGACTGAGTTCACTTATCTACGAATTTAAAGGCGAACTCAGCTAAACAAGGGCGTGGAAGCAGAACATTCCACATGAGGCTGAACCCACAATTGTTTTTTAATCGTCAACAGGAAGACTAAAGTCAAAGTGTTGCTGACAGGAGAGGTTCCAAGTTCACGGCCAAGTCAGAGTACTATTTCCTGCACATTAGGCGGTACTGAGTTACTGGGACAGGGGCTTAGCGATGTAGACAGGGCTGCAGGAGGAACAGGGAGTGAAGCCCTCACCTCTGGGTCCAGATGCTTCGCGATGCGCTTCTCCAGAAAGGGCCTCTTGAGGACAGAGTTCACGGAGGGCCTGTCTCGGGGGCTGACTTTAAACAGCTGGCTCACAAGGAGGCGAAGATCGTAGGAGTACCTGGTCGCAATGGGCTCGCACCGCCCTCTGCAGATCTTCACCACCAACTGTCTCAAGTTACTGCCTTCAAACTGGAACCAGAAACAACCTCGCTACGTCTCCTCCAAGAGACCACACTGTTCAGCATTCACATGTACTGTAAACCGTAAAGCTCCAGACTATTTCTTGAACAATATCAGCGTCTTAAAGAAATCTATTTGACAGTGCTACCGTATGTTCTGGCAAGACCGATAATTAGCCAGTTACGTGAATATTAGTAAGTAATTGTACTATTATGGCTTTGAGGACTTGTATGAGACTTTTTATATTAGACATGCTGAGACACTGCACGATTTAAAACAGAGGCAAAAAAAAATATTTTATTGCTGTATCCTTTTTTTAACTGAATATAAACTAAAAGAAAGGCTAAGACTAAAGGTCTTATTGAAGAACATTGAATAAATGTAAAATGTTTTTCTCAAACAATTCTTGCACCTTTAAGAAAATTCAGCTGGCAGTGCCATCTTCTGACTAGAGTGATAATTATCTAGGTACTTGAATTATAGTAAGAAATTATACTTGGCTACAAGCAGTATTGGTAACTGTTCGAAGCAACCCTTGAGCTACAGTCATTCAAACAAATCTTACAATTGCAAAATACTTTGCAACATAAATTAGGAATATACTGTATGTCCTTCTACTGTAAAACCAGGCTGTTATTTTAAATTCCATGCATACTGTTTTCTCCTTTCAGGTACATGATACATGGAACTTCAATGTGGAACAGTATAAGGATGAAATAATCTTTCCTTTGTGCATCAGATACACAAGGGATGTGTTTGGGTGGCGTGAACCAAGTTCAAATTATTATTTTATAATTTAAATATATTTGCTATCTTAGTAATAGTATCTACAGTAACTGAAGGATTCTCTGTGGTACAGTAACTCCATACTGTACCGATGCTATACAAACACAAACATCCTAAAGTATGAGGCACAGACTATGTGATCTAGTGGTTAAGGAAGAAACACTTTACCTGCGATTTAATTGAACTCCTGCCATACAAAAAGTCGACAGTAGTTGTTAATACTTCCTCTTCTTCTCTAACCATTTCTTTTAGTTGTTTTGGATAAAATGATCTACTAAATGGCTTATTACTGGTAGCATTGTTTACAGCATCTTTACTGGTTTAATGTGGTTCATTTTCTGCATTTCAGCAGGACTGATGTACCCTGTTTTTTGTTATTGGTTTTAATAACTCTTCATGTATTCAAACCAATGGCCACAGAACACTTGGACTGCTTACCGGATGCTTAAGGGTGCAGAGTTCATACAGCACACAGCCTAGAGACCAAATATCCCTGAGCAAGACAAAGTTTAACATGATCGTTACAAAACAAATCTTACGATCCACATCTTTCAAACAATACCAAGTTTTGCCATGGTTTATCAAGGTCATTGACTGTACAAATCTTTCTATGCATGCTATCATTCTGTCTACGATACAAATACGATACAGCTCTTACTCATAATACCATTTGAACTGATATGTTCTTCTCACAGATCTAAAAGCCATGGGCAAGAACAGGTTTAGAAGATGCAGCTTTCGAACAGTGCTGCTTGGTCTGTTTCTCTCCTATGTGTGGTCTCTCAACAACACAATAGATGAAGTACAACTACTTCTTCAGATAAACTCTGATTACTCTATCAGCCTCTTGCTTTACTGAAACATGGCTCAGTGCCTCTGTTTTCAACTCATCAGTGGCGCTACCGGGGCACCAGCTGTTTAGAGCAGATCACACACCTTAGGTGGAGGAGTGTGTTTGTACAGTATGTGAACAGAAAATGGTGCAATGATGTCAATCTCCACTGGGTAACTCCTATCTTACCATAAGTTAATTCCCCAGCTTCTCTCCCTGTCTGTGGTGTCTCATGGAGAGCAAGCTGGGGTATGCGAAAAGACAAATTCCTAATACAAGAAATTGTAGATGGCCAATAAAGTGATCTTATCTTACCAATAAACTGTCTCATCTGAATCTTCCCATCAACTTCCTAACAAACAGAATGCAATATGTGCGGACAGGCTCCTATTTGTCAGACTTCTTATCTGTGAACACCAGTGCACCTCAAGGCTACGTTCTCTCCCCGTTACTCTGCCCTCTGTCTATCAATGACTGGACAGCAGCCCCTCTGTCAAACTACTGAAGCCTGCAGACAACACCACCTTGCTGGGTGCTATCAGCAGTGGAGAGGAGACCAGGCACAGGAGGGCAGTGGATCGCCTGGGGTGTCAAGAACAACCTTCAGCTCAGCAGTCTGAAAACAGTGGACATGTTAACTGACTTTCAGATACAAATCTGCACAACCCGTCACCCTCAAAAGAGCCGAGGTCGTAGTGAGTATGGCAGATGTTATCATCACACAGAAAGCAGAGATTGTATTTCCTGCACTATCTGAAAAATCTCTGTGTTTCTCAGCCCATTCCCAGTCAGTTTTATAGAGCCAACATCGAGAGCTTTCTCACGGCTTCAACTGGTTTGGTGTGGCCATGCGTCTGTCCACTCCAGAGGCAAATTACAACACATTGCCCACTGTGCACAGAGTCCTTAGCTGCCATTTGTCATCTTTTAAAGACTGAGAAAGCGAGCAGAGAAGATTGTCGATGACACCGCTCATCCAGGACACCACCTGTTTCAAAAATGTGCCTCAGGGAGACGCTACCAGTCAATCAAAACAAAAACTTCCCCATGGCCATCTTCCTGCTTAACCAGAACACGGGAATACAGATGTAGTGTGTGTATATAACTGTGGACCTGTGCATGTTCTTTGTGTGAAGTGTAGATGTATTATTGATTGTTCTATGTTTCCTTGTGCGTGTAATGTACTTGGCAAATAAGGTTATTGCTCTACTTCAGTCAAACACAGGATGGATGAGTAGCAATACAAGACCTTTAAATCCCTTTCAACACGAGAAATACACATTTCTTTTTTTATTCTGCTTGTGTCTGTGTTCAGAAATAACTCCAAACTTCAAAACTGCATCTCATTCTAATGAAGAAAGTGTAATGAAAGACATCCCTTAGAATTGCCAGAGGAGCTCTGGCTTTGCTGCCAGTGGCGACGGCTGCGTACCACAACGAAAGGTATTCGTTCAGTTTCAATCTGGGTTGGAAATGGAAGTTGCAATAATTAAGACAAATGTCAATCCTCAGGCTGCTCACTCGTGCAAACCACTCATGCTCTTCTGCACTGCCGTGTTAAAGGTCGGCAAACAGGTACAGAAGAGAGTGAAAAAATGAAACTGAGATTCATGCTTATCCTTAGGGTTAGCTACCCTAGAGGACACTAAGTGAACGATTTCATTCAATGTAGACTTGGACCACAAACCCGTATTTACAGAAACACCTACAATCAGCATAGGTCAATCACAGTGTGTCAGAGCTAGGCTGGAACCATCTCTTTCCCTTTTATCCCATTGAGACATCACTACAGCTCCGAAAACATATAATTCATGTTATCTGAGGCACTCAATAAGATACAAGTAATAGGTTTATTCCATGCTGAAAAAAAGAAGAAAGAGAACACAATGTTTCGGCCGTGGAGCCTTCTTCAGGTGTCACCTGCTGACACCTGAAGAAGACTCCACGGCCGAAACGTTGTGTTCTCTTTCTTCTTTTTTTTCTTCTTGTTCCTTTGCAGCCTACACATGCTGACGCAGCTACCCAGCTGAACTCAATAAGATATACAGTATTTATGAACTTTGGCGCTTACATCATCGAAGTTCTGGGGAATTCCACAATTGACATCTTTGTACACTAAGATGTGTGGCACGCTATTAACTGCTTGGTGGGGCAGGATTTTGATCTGGTAATTGACTCTAGCTAACAACTTAATATCCCCACTAAGCCCACAACACTGGGTTATAGCAGGTGGGCTGACCAGCCGTGCTTTGAACACCTACATGAACCAACCTCAGCAGCATAGCAAAGAAGCAAAAGCAAGCAAGCGAAAGCGTCCCGAACTGACCCTCACGGTTTTTACAGGCTGCTTTGTTGGCACATACGTTTTGTTGTTGTAGGGCCTGTTCTCACAGATTTCCGGAGAGAGGTAATAGGGGGTTCCCACACACGTACGGGCCAGCTCCATGGTGCTAATCAATACAAGATAAGAAGGTGAGTGAAATTAGCAAAGCAATGAACAACACCAGAGGAACGATCTTCGGTGGACTACAAGCGCAGGAAACACGATGAGCCAAGCTGGACTGGACAGCAGATTGGCTACATGATGTCATCACTGTATATCATTCCAAAAATCCCAAAAGCATACGAAATAAAGTTATGAAATCTGTTTCCTCTACAAATGTTTTGTGTTAAAAAGATATCAAAGAATTGGTCAGATTTGTTAAGGATTTATACTTATTTTGCAATCCTATTTAAAATTATGGATAGACAAAACAAATAGTTTAAATATCAAGTCATTTTTCTTAAATACCTACACAGTGATGAAGCACAGCCAATGGCACCTGTGGGCATATGTGAACTCCACTGAGAGATTTTACAGCTGTTCCCCTTTCACACAACGCTCTCTACCAGATAGCTGTTGCTCTGAGCTTGGCAGCCACTTACTTGTTTAACATTCTTGCTATTCCAAAGTCCCCAAGTTTTACTTTCATGCCATTATTGGCCAGGAATATATTCTGAAAAACAGAAAGTCTCCAGCAGATTGTAAAGGAATACCACAAATAACCACAAAGCTGAGACTAGGCCATTTTTTTAAAAATGGGTAAATGTCACAGGTGAAGCACAGCTGTTTCTTGAGCCGTATGAGCAGTGAAAAAAAAACATAACTGGAAGTTGGTGCATGTCCATTTTTGGAAACACATAGAATTCCAAACATAAACAGTTTTTCAAACATACAAGTCATTGTTCCTCAGAAACCATGAAAGTAAGAGATGCAATTTTTAATTTTGAATCATATGCCCTATACAGAGCTAAAACACCGGATCCTTGCTTTTTGAGAAAACAACAACAAAGCTTTCAGAGCACAGTGGGATTTTCCCCTACAAGACAGCCCATTTCAGCACTAAAAATGTAATAGAAAAGCACAAACTAGGTTTACATATAACCAAAGGTAATGAAGTGTGTTCATTCTCACTCTGGTTTATAATTAATTAATTAATTGATTGATTAATTAATTAATTAATTAACTGCTTACACTTATATAGGGCTTCTCTGGACACTCCACTCAAAGCACTTTACAGGTAATGGAGATCCCCTCCACCACCACCAATGTGCAGCATCCACCTGGATGATTATAATGGAATGTTGTAGATACCTGAGCCTTTATATCTCTGTGCAGGACTTTTCTGTCATGAATGTGTTTCAATCCGAGACAGATCTGTACAAACCATTCCAGTATCTGTGGAGACAAACAGCTGGAAGATAGATATATCCCAACCTGTTGGAGAATGAGCCCAAGATCCTTGTATTCAACAGTACTGTTAAACCTTATCATTACTTTATTATTGTGTACTTTATTATCTTTATTATTATCAAAGGTAAATTCAGAATTGCTCTTATGTTTTTACTGCAGCACATACAGGCAGAATTGAAATTCATAGCAGTGTCAATATTCTGATCCCACACAGTCACTGTATAACAACTTTAGATTATTACCCTCATAAGACAAGTGATTTTAGAACAGTTAACATTTTAGAATTAAATTCAGATGCCCAAATTAAGACTTAGTATGACCAGTGTAGCCCTTTCTATCAGGTGTTAAGAACTTGCTGGATCAAGGCCTTCAAGGACCAAAATAAGGAATCAGTGATTTAGATTGTGGAATTTTACATTTTATTATAAGATACTAAACAACTAAACACTACATACTGTGCCTTACCAAGGTATTCACCTGCTTTCAGTAAAGTACTTTCAAGATCAAATGGAATACAGTATATTTACTTGATATTGCTTAAGTATTCATTCCCCCCCCAAAAAAAAAATATTTCGATTTGGGATTTTTCTTTGCCATTTTTTGCTGACTTACTTTTTCCCCCATATCATCTTTTTGAGCTGAGCGTTCAAATTGTGATTAAACACATTCACTTTAGAAAAAAAAATAGATAATTTGTAATTCAACAAAATGGACCATTATGGAGAGTGGTGAACGCTTAGGAATGCTTTACAAGGCACTGGATGTTATTTATATAAACATATTATACAGAATATAAATAGATATAAAACAGTTTCTATCTGGTCTCTCAGCTATCTCCCTGCAGTGACTAATATGTTGCACTGTAGTACAAGAATTCACCTGCTCCAATCTTTTCACACTGCCTGCACTTACAAGCACCAGGGTCCACCGCTATATGAAATGAAGACCTAACATTAATGTGACAGAAGACAAATAAGTTGGGAGGCATCTCTTTCCTATAAACCATAACTTGCACCAAGCCTGAAACTTAAAAAAGAAATAAACTCCAACCTTTTCTGGTACAATACAGTTCTCTGTTCAAAAGCTGCTCGATTCCAACATCGGGGACTGAGGACAAGGGTTCTCCTACCTGCTCCTCAGCAAACAGCTTCCCCCGCTGCATGTTGATCCTCCTCATCAGGTCCCCACCATTGCAGTACTCCATCACGATGTAGAGCTTCATCCTCTCTGAAACAGCCACAGCAAGCCCGGCCGTGAGGCGAGAGGCGAGCCGAGCACCACCACAGCTCACCCAAACGAGCCTTACATGAGCTTACACCCTTATACGCTGCGTGAAGGGGCTTTAATGCATTATGTCCTGACTAGAGAAATTGTTCATTACCCATTGATTGAAAATTAAAGTGCTGAGAGCTTCCGTTGAGCATCACTCTTAATTCCAAGATAAAAACCGTTCATCTTTGCCAGGGTGGGCCTTTTTCCTTCCCATACGGAGATTTCATTTTGACATAACTGCTTGTAAGTCTCACAGGTTCAGGACTGCCGCTGACGGAGGCTCTGACGTGCCTAATTACTTCTCTGATAATGAACTTTGGCGAAGGCAAAAGAAATCCTCGCTTCCTGAGCCGCGCTGACAGAAAGCATCATCAGCGCTGTGGCTCAAGACTGTGAATGTTTGTTTTCAGCAGATACAACAAATCCGTTAAAGCCAACACTAGCATATAATCTCCTCGACTCTCTCTCTCCCTCTATGTGTGGAGTGTAGATCCATAAATATTGATTAAATTTCTTTTCACCAGCAAACTTGATCGCCTGAAGATTTTGCCAAGCTACTGACCTCAGTACCCATGGTCTGGCCAGTCCCAGGGCTGCCTGTACTGAATGTAGCTCAACACCATCCTATAAATACCTATTTTCTCTTTTTTATGCCTCCAGAAATGCAGTGAATAGAACTGAGAGATCCATACAAACCCTCAAACGAGGTAAGGAAGGTGACAACATTGGGGTGTTTCATCCTGGACAGCAGCGTCACCTCCTTGCGAGAAGCCTCTTTTTCTTTCGTAGGCATCTGCAGAGGAGAGGGGTCAATCAAGAGAGGAACTGACCTGCGGAACAGGGCTGGGTAGGACCCACACAGAACCTGAGTACACGTTACTGGAAAGAGATTGAGGCAGCCTTCAATCCACACTCATAAACACTAAACAGATGAAGGGGAGTCATTAGTAAGCGAAGAATTCAAAGCCAGGAAATGGTGCTCCGGATACCTTTCTAAGATTGACCTCCTTGATCACACACAGCCTGTCGATGCGCCTGGGTTTCACTAAGAAAGCTTTCCCAAACGCCCCTTCACCAATGAGTTTAACAACCTCGTACTCCTCCATGACAGAGTTCTGTTGAAATGCTGAAAGGAGATAAAGACCTGTGCTGAAACGAACAAGGAAAGAAAAAAAAAACAGCAGTAAACATGCAGTATAGTGAAAGACCAGTATATTTTTGTTGATAAAATTAAGATAACACAACTTTAGAGTCACAATAGCTCATACAAGAGAAAATGTTTATTCTTCAACTTTTTTTTTTACTCCTGTGTGATCAGTTAGGGAACATTGACAAGTCAGCTAGACCACCAGAACACAACAATTACAAGAATAATTAATTTACAAGGATGAAATAATGGTTCCCGGGTGCACATACAGACAACTGTGCACATACAGTAGTGGGCAATAAAGGATATAAAGTTATATGTTTATTCCATGCTGAAAAAAAGGGAGAAAGAAAACACAACGTTTTTTGTTGTAACTGCTGTGTGTAACTAATAACCCTGGAGCGTCAGACTTCTGGATAAACGTCATAGTTTAGCAGACGTGCAGTTAAGATATAAAAGAACATATCAAAGTTAATTATCATTTTGTTTTAAAACTGCTTATGTGTGTTACATTTTGTATTACATTTCAGTTGTATTGTAGCGTTATAAACCAGCCTACTGCAAACTGAAAAAAAAAAATACATTTCAAAATGTCACCTGCAGAACGGTATCCAAGGCGACCGGTACACAAAAATGTCTTCCTTAGTTCAGCAGACCTGTCGATCGCCTACTGCTACACTGCTACACTGTGAAGGAAGTGCGCTTAGAAAACACTTACCGGCTCCAGTACCGACAGTCCCGGAGTTTTACAGACTTGAAACAACGCCGTGCGCTGGTCAGACAACAACCAGAAGATGAAAGGTTACCCGTTGCTACTGTACGCTGCCAAGCTACATGATCGCCAGTCAGGGGGGAGACACTAGTCAGCAAGGTACTCTGGGACTTGTATTCCTGTTAGTTTTCACAAAACGCTCAAGAATTGTTGCTTGGTAGGTACCGCACATCATGATTATCACGCACTCGGTGACTGGAAATACAAAAGAACTTTTGTTCTTCAACATTTCAGGTTATGTTATGGTTTTTGAACTGTTTCCCTGGCCCTCTTTTCCCTCTATACCTTATACTGTATGTGTTCAGAAAAGGATGCTGAAGTGTCTTCATTTTAATTTTTAACCTACTGTACCATCTTCATGTATATAATCGTTTAAAAATGAATTGTCATTAATGAAATAAGTAAGTCTAAGACGTCTGGGTTATCAGATGCTGTTGGGACGAACGTCATACTGCGCCGATGGGTGAGAGTGGAGGAAATATCTTTTGGTGCTACTGCTACCGTTGTACTGCAGCTTCTGTACTGAACAAAAGTAGTAAATTAACGGTTAGACAATTCATTGAATTGTTTTGTTGAAATCGCGCATTTTACGATGAGAATCTGGTGGTACCCAGAAGTTTCCATCAGTGTCTTAAGTCCACCAGAAAATAAAAAGTCTTGAAATCTTAAGTGCATCATCGCAACAGTACGAATCAAGTAAATGTAAATGCTTACTTACATTTTTATGGTATTCATATAACTAATATAGACATGGCTATCATAAATTGTTCTGTATTTTCCCTGCAGAACTGAGTATTTTAATACTATCACCTAGGATTCCTAGGATCACCACAGTTGTCTTAGACGTTTTGATGTTGTGTTTCCTTAAACTAAAACAAATCTTATCAATTGAGAGGTAGAAGGTTTTGTTTATTCTGAATCTTGACATCACAAATGACCGTTGGGCATATTTTCATTCTACAGTACGTTGCAAATAATAGCTTGAACATTGTTTTCAAAAACATCAGGCCTCACCAGCCTGTACTGACATTACCTTCACATCAGGACTTCAGCAGCAGAGGAAGTTCGTTTTGTATTCACAATCTCTTTTTTAAAATGTGTGAGAACAAAAATGTATTCCCGAGCCACAGAGAATCCGTTCGATATCCTTGAGAGCCGACAACACGATTCAGAGATTTCAATGTTTTCCTGAGAAAAATCGATGAAATTTTAACTTCTTGATCTGAATAATTTCACATGGTGCATGATCAACATGAATGAAAGTACCATGATAATAGTAACCAGGGAAACAGAAATATTTTCCTCTTCAGCTCACTGGATATCTCCTATTCCACACATTTAACTGTCTCGAGTCTTCACCCTAGCAGGGCTCGCAAGCTTGAGGTCTCATCGCTCTCAGGGCTATCGGGCAGAGTGGTGGCTCTTTGGCTCAGGATCTGTGCCTGTGACTAGAAGGTTGCCGGTTCAAATCCTGGGGCTAGCAGAGGAATCCTACTCCATTGGGCCCCTGAGCAAGGCCCTTAATCCCAACTGCTCCAGGGGTGCTGTACAATGGCTGACCCTGTGTTCTGACCCCAGGCTTCTCTCCCTGTCTGTGTCTCCATGGAGAAAAGCTGGGGTATGTGAAAAGATGAATTCCTAATGCAAGAAATTGTATAGGGCTAATAAAGAAACATTATCATTATCTTCAGTCACCAGAACCGCCTGCCTCTTCTTTCTGTCTCCCGCAAAGCTCACATAAACATGGCACCCACTGCTTATCTTGACAGGAACCAAGCGCATCGTACAGCTTTTTTTCAGTGATGAGCCATTGTTTTGTCAAAATCATAAAGGAAATTGTGATGGATGCTAGCTGATCACAGTTTCATTTCGGTTTGATGTGGGATGTAGTAAAAGAACATAAAAGCATATCTTTACAGACCAGAGAAGGCTATTTGTCCTTCGGATGAGACGTAAAACCGAGGTCCTGACTCTCTGTGGTCATTAAAAATCCCAGAGCGCTTCTCGAAAAGAGTAGGGGTGTAACCCCGGTGTCCTGGCCAAATTCCCATTGGCCTTTACCAATCATGGCCTCCTAATAATCCCCATCTATGAATTGGCTTCATCACTCTGCTCTCCTCCCCACTGAGAGCTGGTGTGTGGTGAGTGTTCTGGCGCATTATCCAGGTGGGGCTGCACACTGGTGGTGGTGGAGGGGAGTCCCCATTACCTGTAAAGCGCTTTGAGTGGAGTGTCCAGAAAAGCGCTATATAAGTGTAAGCAATTATTATTATTATTATTATTATTATTATTTGGCCAATCTAACAGGTTTCGGCTTAAGTATATAGTAGGATGAAACCTGTGATCATCAAGATGTTTATTAGCTGTATCAGCCATAAGAGCATAGCTGGGTAGCTTGTTCATGACTCCCACAACTCTTTTCAGTTTTTCATGCTTATCACCTTAGGTTTCAATCATGCTGAACTACTACAGGCTTGCATGTTTTACAGTGGATGTAAAAAGTCCACACACCCTAATTAAAACTGCAGGTTCGTGTGATGTAAGGCCAGAAATCAAGATAAATCATGCCAGACATTTTTCCATCTTTAATGTGACCTTGCACCCAACAAAATTAAAGAGAAATTGAATTTCAAGGAAAATTAAAATACAAAAAAAAACCTACAACACCCTGGTTGCATAGGTGTGAACATCCACTTATAATAGGGGCTGTAGCTGTGTTCAGTTAACCAATCACATTCAAAATCATGTTCCAAGGTTAGTCGCTCCACGGCTGTACTTGACCTCATCTTGTTGATTGACACAGCTACAATAGCTTGGCTCCAGGTGGCTAGTCAGCATTTACTGACCAATACCCAAGACCTGCTTAGGTCATTCATGGTATGGTAACAAAGTCATCTAGGGAATGTCCTGAACTGAACATTTCAGATATTCAAGTGCCCGGCGTCTCGGTAGGTGCTTCTGAGGACTCCCAAGTCCGACTTCAGTGCCTGGACAGTACAGTGAATTGTACGCTTCCAGTGTACACAAGCATGCTAAACTGTGGAGTAAGTATCAGGACATTTTGAAACTGCACATAATGAATTTAAGAGTGCACCAAAGACCTTCTCCAGGTTTCTTCAAGACTTTCTGCCGATTTTGATAGGACACGTGGCAAAAGGAAATACAACCAGCTGAGTTCCAAGTTTTCTGAGGAACTGGAAACACCGCTAAAGAATGTGACTCCAGTTTCAGTACCAAGTACTGTGATTGTAACTGCCCCCTTGGAACGGCTTGTGCTTACGACGTGGCCATAATCATTTACTGGAAAACATTAAAATGCAGGCTTGATCTGACAAACGTTAAGCAAACAAAAGATGGCCACTTATTTTGTGGACATATAATACAGGACTTAAGAACCAAGAGAGACAGTCTGATGTGTCCAAGTTTTATTGTGGTTTAAGGTATCCTTTTACACACAGGCAAGTTATATACAAATTAGTAGTGTAAGCTTTACATTTTCTGAATTTTCTGTGGTATTTTAAGTTACAGCAGATAATTAAAATATAAAACCTAAAAAACAAATCCTGGTGGATTCCATTCTACAGCCAGGTCAGTGGTACAAAATTTTAAGTGAATTGCACTTTTTTTAAAAACTGATTAATGTGTATTTTAAAAATACAGTTAAACTTTATATACTTTCCAGTCTATAACATTTTAAGCTGTAATAATGTGTTACAGCGCTGTGTCACAGGTTCATTTAAATAATCTATATATTTTTCTAATTCACCTGGTTTTCATTTAAAGCACACATTTACCAAATTAGTAGTTAAACCCTGAAAAAAAAAGATACACGTAAAGTTGATATTCTTTACACTTAAGTAGAATATTGCCAGTAACCTTGAATTTTAATAGTCACTTTACAAGTACTGTATTAGCTTTTAAAATGCTAGTATTGCTATGAGATGAGTAAAGAGAAAACAATTACGTTACAGCTCTTACATAACTAGTTCTTTTAAAAAAAAGGTGACAACAAAAAACGTGAGAGGGATTAAAATCACTCACTGCACACAAGTGAAAAAAGTGTGGCTTCAACACCAAGCTGTGACTCGGTCCTGTTTTGCTCTAAGGCTCACAGATCGTCGTTTCTACGACAAACTTGTTCTCAAAGTGACGGATCTTGTGGCAGGTCAGAGCTTCACGTTTCTGCATTCCTGCAATAAAAAAAGGAAGACAAGTCCGTAAAACGTTTCCTGTCATTGGTTTGGTTTTGTGACCAAAGGGGAAACAAGAGTTCCTGCTAAACCAGTGTTGGTTAGAAGTCACATGACTTGTTTTAAAAGGGACAGTGTGCCGACAACAGTGTCGCTGGAAATTAGTGCAGTTTAACCTGACCTACATTCACCCCAACTACATGCTTTTCTCAGTGCTGCTGTCCACACTATCCTATGAATGTCAGACACCATCAGATACTCTTCCCACGTACAGACTGCTGTAGTAGTACGGAATTGTCTGGCAAACAATTTTAGCAGCTGAAGTAGCAATATGTTCATATATTTTGCTGTGAGCTCACTGGACTACAAATTAGCATGAAATGAGTAAATATGATGTGATAGATTGTTTACTCAGGTTTTTCTGTAAAAAACACCAATTCCTGTCCAAGGCCTCATCCAAAGATTCCTGGACCACCACTCCCAAGACTGTGAAGCCACTTAATGACCTCCCCTATCACTCTTTTGTCTTTCTTAACAATAGTATACGTACCGATAATGGCATCCCTGCGCTGGAGCTTGTAAGTCTCCTTGCCACGGCAGAGGCTATAGATGAAGTAGCCCAGCTGGTCCACATTGTCTATGCGCTCAGTCACGATCATCTGTTCATGGATCAAATATGACTGAGGCAGGTACGTTCCAGCCTGCAAACACAATGGAAAAAAACATTCTGATGAAGATCACACTGTAGTACTTCAAAATGACCACCTTCTAGCCTGACCTCATTAGATCTCAGAGGGCAAACAAGGCTGGGCCTGCTCAGCGCTGGGATGGCTGACTGCAGGTCTAGGCTTTACTTGGGACAGGATCACTAAGTGGCAATGTTCCCACTGGAAACCAATGCCCCAGTATAATGAGTGAACAGTGTGCTAAATAAGGGGCTGTCCTGTAGATAGGACACCATGACCCTGCAACTCACAACTGGCAGCCCACTGAAACTCAGCAGGTGTGAGCCTGGTCAGTACCTGGATGGGAGACCTCCTGGGAAAGCTGAGGTTGCTGTTGGGGCCAGCAGGGGGTGCTCACCCTGCGGCCTGTGAGGGTCCTAATGCCCCAGTATAGTGACGGGGACACTGCACTGTAAAAAGGCACCGTCCTTCGGATAAGACGTAAAACCAAGGACGTGACTCTCTGTGGTTATTAAAAATCCCAGGGTGTTTCTCAGAAAGAGCAGGGATGTCAGCCCGGCATCTTGGCCAAATTTCCCCCTGGCCTTTACCAATCATGGCCTCCTAAGAATCCCTATCTCTGAACTGGCTTCATCACTCGTGCGCTGGTGTGTGACGAGTGTACTGGCACAGCACCCTGGTGGTGGTGGAGGGGATCCCCATCACCTGTAAAGCATTTTGAGCGGAGTGTCCAGAGAAGCCCTATATAAGCGTAAGGAATTATTATAGATCCTGACTATTAATTTTTATTTATTATTATTAGATTATTAGGGGGGCCCCCCCACCCCTCAGTAAATAGGTTTGGAATCCTTTAGACTGAAAAGCGCTAAATAAATGTAATGATTATAATCTGTTTTTTAAGAATCCACATTTAACACTAATACACCTTTCAAGAGTGACTATAATAATTGTTAATTACAGGATAGTTCTAAATTTCCTGAATCATGCCTTTTCTTTTCCACAGACCTGACCAATACTCAATAACTTTATCTCCATGGAAAGTTTTTTTTCTTAAATTCCAGCTACAAGTTTTGTGAAAGCCCTGGCGCGCACCATCGTAAAGACCAAATAAGGCACCTTTGCTCCTGACTGTTCTGATTTCTTTGAACATGGTGCCTTTTAGGACACTTGAGCAAGAGTAGGCTAGGAGGTGAAAGCAAAGCAAAAACATTTTAGCGAGAGGCTCGTACCTTGATGTTCATCAGCAGCTCCATGAAGTCTCTTGGTGGCATAACAACAGACGTGTTGAGGGGAATCACATAGCACTTGTTCAGGCTGAGATCCAAGTAAGCCGTCAGCCTCTAATCAGACAAACAGCACAGTAAAGGCAATATACCATTAACTCATTTGCCCAAAATAAAGGATTAGAAGACGCTACAAAGAACTACAAAGAAACCCTGCGAAGGAACACGTTGCCCGGTGAAAAGATGCCTGCACCTCTACCTGTTCTTCTCCAGCCCACACAGCCTCTCTCCACCTGAATATCTCACGTGACATACTGTCCTACTACTTCAGGCGCTGAACTACACGCCTCGTCTCATTTTTATCAGTGCAAATCTTTATTTTAAAATGTTTCTAGTTTTATGGCTGCTTACATTTTTTTTTTTAATTTTAAAGAAATAAAAAAAATCCACACAGGGTAGCTATAGGTGCAAAACACTGTACAAGTTTTTCATTTCCAAGTGCAACTGTCACCTCAACTGAAAAATACTGGAAGCCTCAGTGAAAGATTTAGCCTTAGAAAGTATTTCAAAAGCCGTATTACACAACAAAAAAACCCAAAACCCCAAAAAAAGGTTGGCTCTGCGACTGCAAATTTTCCTTTTCGGTGTTTTTGTGCACGATGTAGTGTGGCGCTATTCCATGGTTACACAAAACGCGGCTAAAATAACAATTCGGGAGCAGCCTGCTGAAGTACCGCGCTACTCATTTAATTAAGGTCCAGATGAAAGCAATCTCAGGTACGCCACGAAGAAGAAGGGGTTCTGCGTCCCTACCCTGTGAAAGTCATGGACAATGTCAGCAGGGTCGCTGCCCGCGAACTCAGGGACGGGAACGTTGATGAGCTCCACCTCCTCCTGCTCCAGCACGCGGATGGTCTCCTCGATTTCATGCAGGTAGGGAGCGGGGGTGGGGATGTCTCCTACGTTGATCCTGAAGTCGTCCTCGCGGTACTTCACCCCGCAGATAAACACCTGCCCCTCCTGGAACGGCACGGCGCACGTTAAGCCGCCACTCCCCGGCTCCGCATTTGCAAAACCACAAGAACCGGTTTCTGCCGGAGAGACACGGCACGCGATCGAGCACGCAGAGCTTGGGGGGAAATTAAGGTACGAGACTAACCCAAACAAGTCCATTCTCAGTTTACTAGAAACATGTGAAACCCAATTTTCCTTCTTCTCTCAAGCGTGAGTCTCCAGGCGATATCCCGCTGGGCGAGACACAGGCTGAATTAGAAAGCTAACTGAAGAAACTCGGACATCAGCGAAGGGGGCTGAGAGGAGGTGAATGAAATCGGATCACGGCGAGCCTGTGCACATTCCAGCAGGATTACCTAGGAAAGCACCTCCAGGCAGTGTTTAAACCACCAGTTTACTGCACACTGTTCTATCAAATTAAAATATTTATTGTACTGTACTTTATGTTTAAATCTGAGGACGTTTTGCTGCCATGAAGTCATGACAGGAACAGCCTTGGGATAAAAGTGCATTTAGGTTAGTCCTACAAGCCCCTCCCGCAGAACCTCTGCAGAGAGAGCACCACTCTGTCCCCACTTAACTATACACTGCATCTTCAAAAACACTGAGCTTTATATAAAATTTCACACTTCGCTTCTGGGAAAACTGGCCCTGGTGAGAGTGTGTGCAATGTCTGTGCCTCTGCCCTTGGCATCCTTGGGAGTCACCCATCCCCAGACTGGGCAGCTTGAGAGGACATTTACCTGCAGCAGGAAGTACCTGTAGAGGTAGGCGCCTCCGACCACCACCCCGGCCAGCATCAGGGCCAGGCCCAAGCACATGCACCAGCACCAGGTTCGGGACTGGCGCCGCACGCGGACCGCGCCCTCCAGGTCCTGCAATCACACACGCAAACACACCTGTCAGCTCCGCGGACAGGGCAGGGAAACACACACAGGAACCGTCACTGGGCTGATGCTCCAGTCACACACGTGGGTCCTAAACCCAGTAGACAGTTACTGAAAAACCAGCAGCAGCAGCAGCACCGGTGCTGGGAACTGTTAGTCTACAAACTAAGTTTAGAAGGTCTGCCAAAACCTTTATTTGCTGCTCGTTCATTGGTTCTTCGAGGGGATGTGCTCATACATCTGATGAAGTTTATTTTTATGCTGCTGCTTGACCAAAGGCATCTCTTTTGAATAAGGCGGTTCATGTTTGTCTGGTTTCCAATATACAAACAAAAAACAGCCTGCTGGTATTGTTTAAGCTGTGCAAACATCTTGAATGGATGACAACTCCCAATCAATTTCCTCTCCAACTCTTCCAGCCTGCTACCCCAGTGCGTTAAAACTGCAGGCTACCACTGCCTCCATCTTACCATGCCTCCATTCTGCTGCAAAGAAAATCAGAAGGTTATAGTGTATTGTAAAGGGCTTTCTAGAAAAACACAAAGGAGCAAAAGAGGTGAACAGCACTAAAATGCATAGCACTCGTCTGACCCGGTAATACCAAGAGGAAGTTTGAAGCGAGCAGTAAAATCTGTAGGGAAAAGAGGTCTTTATGAAAGCCGACATGTCATGGCGTCTAACGCAGTGGCTCTCCAAGTTCCATGGTCCGCGGACCACTTACATCAAGTCACAGATGCGCTGGACCACTTATGCCTGCTTTACCCTGTAAATCGGCACCTATGAATGTACTAAAATTAATATTGAATCACATTTTATTAAAGTACTAATATTCTTCCAAACAAAACTGCATATTTTTGCAAATGTTTTTATGACTTAATAGGTTCATGTGAAGAATGGAGCTGCGTAGACCTGCTTTAAGAAAGATGAGTAGGTCGCGGACCACCTGGCGCACGCCCACGGACCACTGGTGGTCCACGGACCACACTTTGAGAACCACTGGTTTCTGGGCAGCACTACTGCCCATCGTGTGGAGCATGGTCTTTGACCAAATCAAGAGATCTCACGCAGTGTATTGAAATGTACAGCAATAATCCCTTAAAATAACCCAGAGCCAGACCGTTCGGTGCTTTATCGGTGAGCAGAAGAACCTTAAAATCCAAACTAAATTTCAAGTTTCGTGCTGGTACAATTTAGAGAGGACAGGAGCTGTACTAAGTACTTTTAGTTAGCACATCAGCTGGAGAGTTCTGGACATCCAGTCCTAACTCAGGAGCTACCCTAATAATCAAACCTAATACAAACATGCAAATCCTTATCAGGGAGTTACATTTTATTTCATCCACTAATGAGTCAGAAGGCAAAGAGATGCCTAAATTACCGTCCGTCTTCGTTTTGATCTGCACACTGTGCTCATTCCCTTGAGAGTGTATGTTAATAAGGAAGGAGTAAAGAATAAGCTACTTTTGCACTACTGATCTCTCATCTCAGAAACTCAGCTGTCTATGAGATTTAGTTAACAAAGGGCTTTGTCTGAAGCTTATCAAGGGTGCTCTGCATCGCTGAGAGCAACAGTCACAGAGCACACAATGTGTCATTACCAAGAACAATACCACACTATTACACAGTAGAAAGGGGACACAGAAGAGTTAAAACAATTACAGTTTGTGAAAGCCTCTCTAGACTTAAGCCCTAAGCTAAACGGTCTTAACTAAATCAAATAGTCCTCTAGAAGGCAAAATGGTGTAGCACAGTGGTTCTCAAACTTTTTGGACCAAGTACCACCCCTAATCCAACCAAAGCATCCAAGTACCACCTACAAGTCATCTTCTCAGAGGAACCCCAGAAAATCTCAATGACCAACATGAGCGCACGCGCGCACATGATAAAAATAGCACTGAGCACTTACCATTTCAGTGAGAGGGGCGAGCCTGTTTAGTCGAGCAAAGCCTAGCAATGTCAGGGACGAGGGCAGTGAGCTTCAAACGCAGATCTGGCTCGGCATCCATTTTGTTGTGGTACTTTGTCTTCATTGCAGTGAGAGCAGAGAAGCCTTTCTCTCAAAGGCAGGTAGTAATAAAAGGCATCAAAAACCACACAGCCTTTAATGAGAGGGCTGGGTATTCACTTCGTCTTTGGATCCAGAATTCCAACAGTGACTGTCGTTTCAATTCTGACATCAAAGTTGCATCAGATGATAACTCGAGCAACTTCTCTTGCTCAGCACAGGAGAGATTCTTGGGTATTCCTTAGGCATCAACAGTAAAGGGGTTCCTGATCCACTCTGGTGTGGCCTCAACTGGAAAATACTCTGAGGTCTGTTCTTCCAATGACAAGAGGTGCACTGCAATCACATCACCAACAGCAGCATCAAGTGCCACACCATATCTGTGCAGATGGTTCTCCAAAGTAGGGAGAGCAGGGGCATCACTTGCATTTATTTTAATAACAAAAAGCTGCAGCCTTTTCTTAATAGCAGTGATCTTGTCAGACATGTCACAAATTGTTAAAGAGAGCCCCTGCAGTTTCATTTTCAGCCCATTCAAACGTGAGAATATATCAGCCAGATGAGCTGAGTTTACCAGTCACATTACAAAGCACACTGAACAGATGTGACTTCATTGGTTGAGAGTCTAACACAGATTTTTCTTAACACAGGCAGTTTCTTGACGGCCCAGGCCCCGCGGTGGATGCTGCAGTGCGTCCACTTCATACGTGGAGCAACCTCTCTTAATTTGTGCGACTACACCGCTGTGTCGGCTTGTCATCGCTCTAGCACCGTCTGTACAAACTCCGACGCATTTGATCCAGTCGATGCCATTCTCTTCGATAAATTCATTCAGAAGCTGAAATACGTGCTCTCCTGTAGTTCCTGTTGGTAGCGGCTTACAGAACAGAAAGTCCTCATGGGACGTGCCCTCAAACTCGTATCCAGCGTAAACAAGCAAATTGGCCAGCACATCAACGGCATCTACAGACTCGCCTAATTGCAGTGAAAAGCATCTGCTCATCTGAACGCGTTCTATCAGCGTACTTTTGGCATCATCCACCATATCAATCATTCTATGAGTGAGTGTCATTCGAAAGGGGCAGCAAATCCAGCTGTTCAGCAGCTTTTTCTCCCCACAATACGCGTCAGCTCCTTTGCCAATGGTAAACAAAGTTCCTCACCGGTAATGTGGGTCTTAGCAATCCGCAAGCTTGCATTGGTCCCTGTTTCAAGCTAAAACACCTTTTTCATCATGCGCATGGGAACGAAACACGGAGATGTTCCGTAGCCAAGTATGTAGGCTGTGTATTTCACAAACTAATTTGATTAAAACAGAAAATATGAAAACCCGTCCCAATTTTTCAGTGCACACAACAAATTTCCAGGGTCATCCGGCCTTCCACCTGGTGGCGCCCTGAGAACCATGGGTGTAGCGTCTCAGACTCTGTTCAGTCGCTCCCTGGAATAACCGGCTTGCACACAACACAAGATGCCTCAAGTACAGTATGTAGGGCTAAAAAAAAAGTCGTTTTACTTTCAACATTTCAGGATAAAGGGGTACCATTTTTGTATAGATAAAAAGGTCAAAAATGAAGGTCTACTTGTTTCCATTGTACTATTTTAGATTTTCAAACCAAAGTCTGTCCATCTTTCCAACATAAGCAAACAGCTTCAAGATTAAATGAGCTGCACTTTGGTCACGGGCTACTGACTGGCCTGCTGACCTTTGCTCAGTGAAACAGAGGTGAGGAGTACTGTTTGCCAGAGCGCAGAGGGAGAACAGTTCGTGGCCGGGATGGCTGGGGTCCTGAATGATGGATGGGGCTTTATTGCGACAGCGACTGATGTTAAGTCACATCCGATAATCTCCTGTGCCATCACCAGTGGCGACCCTTTGTAGAGAATGTTTGTCATGCATGTATGATGATGATGATGATGATGATGATATTAAATGGATGCAAAAGATTTGGAGGACTTCAGATTTACAGCAGTAATACTGGTTTATGGGCAAGAAAACTACAACTACATTTTAAACTGTAACCTTTTCAATTTGGCAATTCAAATGATTTTACATAGGCCTAAATCTCTTGCAAACGCATACATGTTACAGTGCTTGTGGCGAATTGCATGAGCACCAGATGCTGTTTCCAGTGGTAGGTCCTATATTGAAAGGCAGAGTGACAGAGAGGCAGTCCAGTCCGGCCACTGAAGACCTGAAGTCTCTCATATAGAGGCAGAGGGGTCTTCAGGGTCTTCGCCACACCCGGGCGCCCACTGACTTCTCCCTCAGAGGCCTTTCCCTGTCCCTGGATGAGACCGTCTGACACGCTGCAGAGCTTCCTGGGCTCTCTCATGGCAGCGCACGGCTCACTCCTGAACTCCGGTGCAGCGGGCACTTCCACACCAGGCTAGGGCTTCCTGTGACTCTCCCCACAGCCGGGGAATTAAAAACACTCAGCAGGGTATGATGGGAAGTGGGGGAAAAACAGGAGGTGAAATGGAAAATGCCCCAAGGCTGAGGAAAACACACACAAAGAGCCGCCCATACAAATCCATACTGTTTAAGCAAGCTGAAACCCAAGCTGTGTGACGTGGAAGCCATCTGTGTTTCTAAAGAGGGCCCAGGCTGCACAGGCTGCACAGGCTGCAGTGTCCAGACTCTGAGGTAACCATCACCCTGCCACACTCTGGTGCAGCCCTGGCAGCGAAAGCACATGTGCAAAAAAAATAGTATTAAAAACTTGAAACAAGAAGAAATGCGTTCAAATAATGAAACCCTGGAGGCTGTTACATTTGATGTGACCCACATTGACCAATATCAAATAACGTGAATGAATATCGAACAGAGATCCAATCGGGCTGTACTGAAACGTCCAGACGCCCTTGATAACACGAGTGAAACTGTGAAGGTTTATTACCCTGGACCCTCTCGTGAGCTATTCGCTCCAACGCAGCTCTACTAATGTGCACTCGTTTCACACCACTGAGAACTCTCCACCCT